TTTATTTATTTATTTATTTATTGGTTCGATTTATATGCCAGTGATGGCTAACCTTTTTGCCATCGCATGCCAAAAACGAGGGGAGTGCCGGGGGATTGCGCGTGTGTGTGCCCACACCCATAATTCAATGTGCCCCCCCGCACGCATGCATGTGCGACCCCCACTTTTGGCACGTGATGGCCTGGTGGGCCCGGTAGCCCTTTTTTTGCCCTCCCCAGGCTCCAGAGGCTTTCTAGGAACCTGGGGAGGGTGAAAACAGCCTTCCCCAACCCCCTGGAGGCCCTCCAGAGGTCGGAAACGGTCCATTTCCCAACTTCCGTTGGGATCAGAAGGCCCGTTTTTCGCCCTTCCCACACTCCAGAGGCTTTCTAGGAGCCTGGGGAGGGCAAAAACAGCCTTCCCCACTCCCTGGAGGCCCTCCAGAGGCCAGATTCGCCATCACAGCCTTATACCATCCCAGTCAAGTGGTTGTCCATCCAGTCTATTTTTGAAAACCTCCAGTGATGGAGCACTCACAATTCCAGGAGGCAATTTCTCTTTACTTCTAAGCTGGATCTCTCTTTGACAAGCTTCAACCCATTGCTTCTTGTCCTGCCTTTCTGAGATAAGGCTGAAGAACACACAGTGTGGTGTGAATAGGGAAAGAGAGTCAACCAGTGTCCAACCACAAGACCTTCTCTGCTCAGTTGATACTCTGAACTCAACAACGTGAAGGAAAGCATCTCCTACAGTCGTTGGAGAACGCCAACGTTTTCAAATAAATCACCATCACTATACAGGGATCCTAAAGTGGATCCCTAAATCACATCTAGGCACCCATTAACTATCATCCATGGTGTCAATGAGGCTATAAGAAATACTTGGGAGATTGAAGAAAACAACCCATCAACCACAAGATGTAAAGACATCTTACTAGGCTTCCAACTCTGATGGAGCCCATAATTCATATCTCCCTTCTTCTACATCAGGGGGTCTCCAAGCTTCGCAAATTTAAGACTTGTGGCCCCCCCACCCACCCAAGGATTCCCCAGCTAGCATGGAGAACATCACCAGGATTTATCTGGCTGAGGAATTCTGGGAGTTGAAGTCCACAAGTCTTAAAGGAGTCAAGTTTGGAGACCCCAGCTGTAGATTATTAGGGGCCTTCCTGGGGAATTCTGGGAGTTGAGGTCCACAAATCTTAAAGAAGTCAAGTTTGGAAACCCCAGCTGTAGATTATTAAGGGCCTCCCTGGGGAATTCTGGGCGTTGAAGTCCAGAAATCTTACAGTCACCAGGTTTGGAGACCCTTGTTGTAGATTAAGAGCTTCTCTTCTCAAGATCATTGGATTTCGACAGCTCAGGAAAGTTGCCAGCCGTTTCAAGGGCCGCCAACTGACCAGGGAAATTCCAAGCAAGGCTGAGGAAGTGGGTGGCAGATCTACGCTGCCGATAAATTAATAAAATTAACAGCCAAATTCCCAGAAAAAAAAAAAGGAAGTTACTCGAAGGATACTGTGAAGGTTTAGAATTTTTTCCCCCATCAAACTTTGGAGATGTGATCATTCGGCATCTCCCAATTTGAGACTCTAGAAAGAGCACAGAGAAGAGCAACAAAAATGATTAGGGGACTGGAAGCTAAAACATACAAAGAACGGTTGCAGGAACTGGGCATGGCTGGTCTAGTGAAGAGGAGGACCAGGGGAGAGAGGAGGGGGTCAATCTATTCTCCAAAGCACCTGAGGACAGGACAAGAAGCAATGGGTGGAAACTAATCAAGGAGAGAAGCAACCTAGAACTAAGGAGGAATTTCCTGACAGTGAGAACAATTCGTCAGTGGAACAACCTGCCTCCAGAAGTTGTGAATGCTCCAACACTGGAAGTTTTTAAGAAGAGACTGGACAACCATTTTTCTGAAATGGTATAGGGCAATGATAGCTAATCTTTTCTGGACCGAGTGCCCAAAGCGTGCATGCCTGAACCGCCAAAATGCAATGTGCGCATGGCCCTCGTGCATGTGCCCTGGCCCCCAGGCATGCACACGCGGCCCTCACACGTGCCCCACCCCCCGTGCATGCACATGCAGCCCCCTGCACGTGACCCGCCCCCCGCACATGCGCGGCAGAGGCCCAAAAACCAGCTTGCCGGCAGGAGGTGCGTACACATGCGCAGCAGAGCTGAACTGGGGCAACGGCTCGCGTGCTGACAGAGAGGGCACTGTGGGGCACCTCTGGCACGTGTGCCATAGGTTTGTCATCACAAGTATAAGGTTTCCTGCCTGAGCAGGGGGTTGGACTAGAAGACCTCTAAGATCCCTTTCCAACTCTGTTATTCTATTCTATTCTATTCTTTTTTTCTTTTCTTTTTTTGCTGTTTCAGTTTTTATTTTTTAGAATTTATAAAATTCCAGTGTATATTCTGTTCTGTTCTGTTCTGTTCTGTTCTGTTCTGTTCTACTCTACTCTACTCTACTCTACTCTACTCTACTCTCACTCCACTCCACTCCACTCCACTCCACTCCACTCCACTCCACTCCATTCCATTCCATATTTCTCTTCTCTTCTCTTCTCTTCTCTTCTCTTCTCTTCTCTTCTCTTCTCTTCTCTTCTCTTCCCTTCCCTTCCCTTCCCTTCCCTTCCCTTCCCTATTCTATTCTATATTCTATATTCTATATTCTATATTCTATATTCTATATTCTATATTCTATATTCTATTCTATTCTATTCTATTCTATTCTATTCCACTTTTGACCTTGCTATTGTTATCCCCGTTTTCGGTTTTACGTACAAGCCGTTTGGGAGTTCCATGGTGTGCTTAAGTTGGTGGGTTAGCCTTATTTCCTTGTCCCTTTTCTTCCAACTGTGGGCCTTTTATTGAATTTTTATCTTGTAAAAGCCTGCGGGGAGTCAGAATTATTCAAATGCTAATAATAACACCTGGCACCGGTCCCTGCCTCTAAGAGTCTTAAGTTCTCATGATAAGATTGTTTTTTTTTTTTCCTTTTTTATTGAGGCTCAGAGGCTATTTTGGGCAAGCCTGATATTACAATGGGATCCTTTTGATCTCTCTTTCTCTGCTCTCGCTTGCAAAAAAAAAAAAAAATCTTTCGCTTTGGATCTAGAAAGCAAAGCAGGAAAACAAACATTCATCCCAGAGTTGCGGGACAATGAGGAACGATGGTGCAAGTAAGCACTAGATTAGCGTAATTATAGTTTATTTTATGCAAACTTTCTGCCTGCAAAGAGACACTCTCTTTCCGGAGGGGATTTTAAATTCAGTTCTGACCTAGTCAGGGCATTTCCGTTTCCCTGGCTGTCTCTCTAAGTTTGTGTGAAAGAAATCTGACCTCTGATCAGCTGAGATGGGCTTCGTTTGCAAAATGCGGAATGGCAGGCCTTGTCCTTGTCAAGATTGTTAGCAATTTCTAAAAGGCACACGGGGAAGGGGGTTCCCCTTGCAATTGTGATTGTCCACGGAAGAGCCATAAAGGTCAGCCTCAGGGCTGAGCCAGCACACTCCAGAGTATTGTATGGGTAGTCCTCGATTTAGGGCTAACATTTATGCTGCTAAGCGAGGTAACTGTTTGTTTGTTTTTTTTGTTTATTTTTTTAATTTGATTTATATGCCGCCCTTCTCCGGAGACTCAGGGCAGCTTACAATGCGTTAAGCAATAGCCTTCATCCTTTTGTATATTTATACAAAATCAGCTTATTGCCCCCACAATCTGGGTCCTCATTTTATCTACCTTAGAAAGGATGGAAGGCTGAGTCAACCTTGAGCCTGGGGAGATTTGAACTTACAGTAATTGCAGACAGCTTGATGTTAATAACAGTGCTTTAGTCTGCTGCGCCACCAGGCTCCTGTTAAGGAAGCTGCTCCCAAGTTGACAATAGCCACAGCACTTAGACTTATATACCGCTTCACAGCCCTCTCTAAGCAATTTACAGAGTCAGCCTCTTGCCCCCAACAATCTGGGTCCTCATTTTTAGACCTTGTAAGGACGGAAAGCTGAGTCAACCTTGAGCTGGTCAGGATTGAATCATGGATGGATGGATGGATGGATGGATGGATGGATGGATGGAAGGAAGGAAGGAAGGAAGAAAGGGGAGGAGAGGGGAGGAGAAGGAGGGGAGGGAGGAAGGGAGGGAAGGAAGGAAGGAAGGAAGGAAGGGCAATAGCACTTAGACTATATACTGCTTCACAGTCCTTTATAGCCCTCTCTAAGCGATTTACAGAGTCAGCCTCTTGCCCCAACAATCTGGGTCCTCATTTTATAGACCTGTAAGGACGGAAGGCTGAGTCAACCTTGAGCTGGTCAGATTGAACTCCTGGCAGTCAGCAGAGTTAGCCTGCAATACTGCATTCTAACCACTGCGCACCATGGATGGATGGATGGATGGATGGATGGATGGATGGATGGATGGAAGGAAGGAAGGAAGGAAGGAAGGAAGGAAGGAAGGAAGGAAGGAAAGGAAGAGCAACAGCAATAGCACTTAGACTTATATACTGCTTCACAGTCCTTTACAGCCCTCTCTAAGCGATTTACAGAGTCAGCCTCTGGGTCCTCATTTTACCCACTTTGGAAGAATGGAAGGCTGAGTCAACTTTGAGCCGGTCAGGATCGAACTCCTGGCAATGAGCAGAATCAGCCTGCAAAACTGCGTTCTAACCACTGCACCACCAGGGCTCCTACAACCTTTTCTGCCAGGTTTTCATGTGAATGACTGCGGGTTCTTAAGCAAATCACGTGATCACTGAGCAAATCCAGCTTTCCCCCCCGTTGGCTTGGCTTGTCGAACCCATGACTCTGGGATGCTGCAACCATTATAAACCATACTGCTGGCCCAACACCCGAATTCTGATCACACGATCATCTCCTTTGCAAAGACCATTGCAAAGACTCTAGTCCTCATGGCCCAGAAACCCACTCTTGCCCCACTGGCACACCCACAGCCAGCCAATGGCAACGATGCTCAATGCTTGGATGAAAAGTTCGACCGGGAGCTAAGAAAAGATACTCACCACATGAGGCTGATTTAATGCCACGGGGTAGGACATGGCGTGGGACGGGTAGTGGGTCTCCGCCCCTCTCCAGGTCTGGGTTGCCGGTTGCGTAGATCCAGCCATTGTCAAAGGCGAGTGGGGGACAGCAGTCTTCTTTGGGGGGTCCCTCCTAAGAATCAGCGATGCGACGCACTAAGGGATCCCGGAGTTCGGGCGCACGATGCTCGCCCCAGCCATCTCCTGTTGTGCCTGTAAGGGAAACAAAGGCAGGGTGGATTGGAGTCCCGTTGGGAAAAAAAGGGGGGGTGCATTTGAGACAGTTAAATTGGGGGGGGGTACCTCCTTCCCATGAAGGCGTCCCCACTTTCTCAGTCCAGAAAAAAAAAACGAGAACCACCGTCTGGCTGGACAATCTGGAATCCTGGATTTACGACTGTCACGGGGATTAGAATTTCCATCGCTCAAGCTAGGCAGGCTTGGGAAGGAAGCTAGGCCTGATTTTTTTATTTTATTTTTTTGCCAAGGTTGTTAAGTGAATTACACTGGCTGTTAAAGCAAATCTGGCTTCTCCCTCCCCTCCTTAACTCGGTTTGTTGGAAGCCAGCTGGGATGGTTGCAAACGATGATCGTTAAGCGGGAATACCGGTTTTAAGTCAACTCTTTTTAGGGCCATTGTCACTTCGGTCGGTCAATAAACAAGTGTTTTGTAAAGCGAGGACAACCTACGTCACCTGCTCTTTTTCACGGGTCCTTAAATTATTTTGCATAGTCCTCGACTGACAATTCATTTAGTGACCAAAGTTGCAACGGCAGTGAAAAAAAAGTGACTTACCATCATTCTTCACACTTATGACCTTTGCAGCGTGCCCCAGGATCACGGGGTCAAAATTCAGGCGTGACTCGTAGTTATGACGGTTGCAGTGTCCTGAGGTCACGTGATTCCCCTTTTGTGGCCTCCCCACAAACAAAATCAAGATGAAAGCCAGATTCACTTAACAACTGGGTTACTAACTTATGCACTGGGGTGATTCACTTAACAACTATGGCAAGAAAGTTCGTAAAACAGGACAAAACTCTGTAGAGATTCTCAGTCCTTTAGGTCATGGTTGTCCCAAAGATGTTTTTTTCACGAGGCAACTGGACTTCCTTGTTTTTTTCTTTTGAAGACGTTTCGCTTCTCATTCAAGAAGCTTTTTCCGCTCCGACTGGATGGTGGGGAATGGAAGGTTTTATACCCCTTGCAGAGAAGCTGGTCGTTTGCATCCTTTTAGAGGGTCGTTGAGGCTACTTGGAGGTTTAGCACTAGCAGGAATGGATTTCCAGAGAGATAGAAAAAAATATTGCAGACTACAGGAACCCTTTGCATCACTCAGCTGACCTTCAGGACACAGATTACCTTCCAAGTGCTTCAACGACTCTCTAAAACAGGGATGTCAAACTCGATTTCATTGAGGGCCACATCAGGTTTGTGTTTGACCTCGGAGGAGGGCTCGGGGGGGCGTGGCCAGGGTGGGCATGATCAGCTCGACTTCACTCATGTCGGGGGCGCCTGTGGTAGACCGAGTGCTCTGCCAGCGAAAACAGGCTCCTGAGCTCCGTTTTCGGCTGCGACGGCCTCCTGCAACCCTCTGCCAGTGAAAACAGGCTCCCGAGCTCAGTTTTCGGCTGCGACGGCCTCCTGCAATCCTCTGCCAGTGAAAACAGGCTCCCGAGCTCCGTTTTCGGCTGCGACGGCCTCCTGCAATCCTCTGCCAGTGAAAACAGGCTCCCGAGCTCCGTTTTCGGCTGCGACGGCCTCCTGCAATCCTCTGCCAGTGAAAACAGGCTCCCGAGCTCCGTTTTCGGCTGCGATGGCCTCCTGCAACCCTCTGTCAGTGAAAATAGGCTCCTGAGCTCAGTTTTCGGCTGCGACGGCCTCCTGCAACCCTGTCAGTGAAAACAGAGCTTGGGAGGACAGCCTGCAGCCCTCCTGAGCTCCATTTTCACTGGCAGAGGCATCACGGGCAGTCCTTTGCTGTTTCCAGGGTGGTCCCACGAGCCAGATCTAAGCACCCCGTGGGCCGGATCCGGCCCCCGGGCCTTTGAGTTTGACACCCCTGCTCTAAAAGGATGCAAATGACCAGCTGTCTGCAAGGAATATAAATCCTTCCATTCCTCGGGATACGTCAAGAGCTGAAGAAGCTTCTTGGATGAGAAGCAAAACGTCTTCAAAAGAAAAACAAAAAAAGTCCAATTTCCTCCTGAAAAAGCACTTTTGGGATGGGACAAAACTCACTTTAAAAATGTCTTCACTTAACAACAGAAACGTTAGGCTGAACTGTGGTCGCAATTCGAGGACTGCCTATACAGAGGAAGGTACGCTTTGCTTTGTCAAGATTTCTATTAAAAGCCCCCAGGTGTTCTCCAGGTGTTCCTCTCAAAACTCCAGGTGCTTCAATAAGCCCTCCACTCCCATCCTGAAACAAGTCTTAGTTACACCCTGCATAAATTGGCAATTGCAAAGTTGACCCAACCGTTTTCTCCAAACCAAGCTTGGTAGGTTGGTTTTTTTCTCTCTCTCTCTTTTTCTCCTTCATCTGTTGCAGCATTGAAATAATTTTGTTTTTCTTGCATGGTTTCCAAAAGGGAAGAGAAAAAGGAAGTGCAGCGTACCACCAACAGAATTCGGCTTCCTCAGAATTTGTTCCTGGGATTGCGTAACGAAAAGGACTCTTTGCAAAACTCTCCCCAGGTTCATTCTTGGGTATCTCAGCTTCCCCCTCCGCTCCGGGAAAGGATTGGAAAAAAATTGCCTCACCAGTTGAACCTACGCCTGCTTCAAGAGCTTTCTCCATAGTCTTTTCAAACCCTCCCCACCCCACCAGTCCTTTACAAACGGTCCTTGGCTTACAACCATCCCAGTGGTGGGTTCCTCCCGGTTCGGTCCGGTTCGGCCAAGCCGGTAGGGGTGACGATATGACATCACCAAAACGGTTCTCCCCCCCGCCCTCCCACCCTCCCACCCCACCTCTTACCTTTTATTTGGCCCCAACCCCAATCTATTGCTGCCTCCTGAGTCCCAGCTGATGACTAGAGGGAAAAAAACTATTTAAACTCTTGCCACGGGGCTTCAAAGGGCCGCCCTACAGCTGATCAGTGTTAAAAGCAAACAAATGAGTCGGGTCGTAAGTGCGAGGACCTTCCAGAAATGACTCTGACCAGCTAGCCACGCCCACCTAGTCACATGACCTCCAAGCCACACCCAGAAAATAAGCCACGCCCACAGAACCGGTAGTAAAAAAAAATTAGAACCCACCCCTGAACCATTCATTAAGCAAGCTTTTGAAGTTATCACGGGGGGGGGGGGAATAATAATTTATAACCAGTCCCAGGGCCGTATTTTCCTATAGGCTAACTAGGCTTCAGCCTAGGGCCTCAAGATCAAGAGGGGCCTACATTCCCTACATTCAAATTGTTAGCAAAATTAAAATTACACTTTCACTATAGGTGAAAGGGCCTCATAAGTGGAATAGCCTAGGGCCTCTTTTCATCTAAATCCGGCCCTGACCAGTCCTCAGACTTATGACGGTCACAACTTCCCTGCAAGTCACATGATCGATGCTTGTGACTTTCCAAGCTGGCTTCCAACTGGTCAAGCCAATGGGGAAGGCTGGCAGGAGGTTGCAAATGGGGGTCACGCCTGGCTTAATGACTGTGGGCGATTCGCTTCATGATCTAAATGATCTAAATAATCTAAATAATTGAACGGTCAAGCTATTGTCCAAAGCACCCGAAGGCCAGACAAGGAAGAATGGATGGAAACTGAGCAAGGAGAGATTCAACCTGGAAATAAGGAGGAATTTCCTGACAGTGAGATCAATCAACCGACGGAACAGAAGTTGCCTTTGGAAGTTGTGGAAGCTTCATCACTGGAAGTTTTCAAGAAGAGACTGGACTGCCATCCATCAGAAATGGTGTAGGGCCATGATGGCGAACCTATGGCACGTGTGCCACAGGTGGCACACGGAGCCATGTCACCTGGCACGCCAACTCAGCCTCTCTAGGAGTCTCTGGAGGCTGGGGACAACAAAAAATGTCACTTCCTGTCCAACCGGAAGTTGGAAAACGGGCCGTTTCGGACCTCCGAGGGGGTGGGGAAGGCTGTTTTTGCCCTCCCCAGATGCATAGAGAGGATCTGGAGCCAGGTGAGAAAGAAAAACGGGCCTACTTGGCCATTGTGTGCCAGGTGCGGGGGGTGGAGAGAAGGGGTCATGCATGCATGCACAGGGCGGGGTGCATAGAATTATGGTTGTGGGCACATGCACGCTCGCGAACCTCCCCCGCCCCCCTTCCTGGCATGTGATGGCAAAAAGGTTAGCCATCACTGGTGTAGGGTCTCCTGCTTGGGTGGGGGGTTGGACTAGATGACCTCCAAGGTCCCTTCCAACTCTGTTAATCTAATCTAATCTTGACCGTTAAGTGGAGCAGACACGTGATCTTTTGCTGAAGAACTTCTTCGTTTTGTGGAGGCTTGTTCAAACTCAACCAAAAGGGGTTTGTCCTACAAACCACAATAAGCAAACCACTGTGTACAGGACAGGGAGCGGCAAAGCCCACCCAGGAACAAGCTGAGGAATCCACCATCAAGGGCCTAGAGCCGGACTCGGAGTTCGGATCTTTGCAACTGCTACAAAGGGACTACATGCATCCCTCCCCTTTAAATCTGGATGGGTTCAGCAGCTGGCTGTGGATGATGGAAGGCAAAATCCAGCCCATGGTGCAGCATGAAGAACGGTTGCAGGATTTGAGGTTGGATAGTCTAAAGAAATTAGGGGTAACATGATAGCACTATTTGAGGGGCGGCCCCAAAGAAGAGGGGGACAAATGATTCTCCAAAGCACCAGAGAGCAGGACAAGAAACAATGGATGGAAACTGGTCAAAGAGAGAAGCAACCTGGAATTGAGGAGAAACTTCCTAACAGGGAGGACAATTAACCAGTGGAACAGCTTGCCACCAGAAATCGTGGGCACTTCATCACTGGAGGTTTTTAAGAAGAGTCCAGTCACTTGTCTGAAATGGTATAGGTCAGTGATGGCTAACCTTTTTGCCATCGCGTGCCAAAAGCGGGGGGAGTGCGGGGGGGGTCGTGCGCACGCATGCCCACACCCATAATTCTCTGCGCCCCACTCCCTCGTGCATACGCGTGCGCCCCCCCCCTGCACTCCTCCCGCTCTTGGCATGCGATGGCATGGTGGGCCCATTTTTCACC